CTCTTGTGGGGTGATTTCCCATGTTTCCTCTCACTGTCTCTGTCTCTCCCCAGCAAGCACACACACCCTAAGTAAAAAACCTCTTAAAAAAAAATGAGATTGTAAATTTAGTGATAGTGATACCTATAAATCTCAACTACTAAGGAGATACAGGTAGGAGGATCACTAGTTCAAGTTCAACCTGGGCAATTATTTAAAAACTTTTGTCTCTAAAATAAAAAAGTGTGTATGTGTGTGTGTGGGGGGGTATCGTGATATAAAAATAATAGAATAATATATCACTATATTGTGATTTAAGTTTACATTTCAAATCTCTAAGTACACATTTTGCTAGAAGTCTTCTTTTTAGCTATCACCTTGAGTATTCTGCCTAGGAAAGGGTCTTGCTACGGTTTGAAAAGGATCTCAAAATTCATGTGTTGAGATTTGGCTGTGACAGAATTCAAGAGGGTAAAAACTTAATCTGACTATGGTACTGAAAGGTAGACCTTTAGGATCAAGGTCACCTGGGTGGGACACTCGTAACTGACTGCCGTAACTGACTGCGTAACTGACTGCCGGTGGGTTAACAGAGGGAATGAGGCAGAGACATATGGACACAGATGCAAGAGCTCCTGCCCTCCACCATGCTGTAATGCAGCGAGGCGACCCCACTAGATGTGCCCCTGGGCCTTGGACCTCCAAACCACAAGCTGAATAAACTAGTTTTAGAAATTACCCAGCTCAGGTATTTTCTGTTGTTAGCAACAGAGAGAATTAAGACAGCTCTCTCTTTAGAGATTAACCAAATTTATAAAAATGACTGGGGTATAGTGCTCATGGACTCTAATTTATAAAACCAGTGACTACTAAGTGATAAGACTAATTTGACAAGTAAAGGTTTAAAACTTGGCCTCACAGTGAGGCAGGTCACTTTTACTTAACAGAAAGTGTTTGATGGAGTTTCTCTAGGCACTATTTTAGGCACTGGGGAATGGAGTAATACAGTGGTGAATCAAAGTCCCTGCCCTTCCGAAACACTTATTATAGGTACAATCAGCTCACAGGTTATATTCATAGTCAGTAGCTTTTTATTAGCAAGTTAAATTACAGAAGTTACCCTGGGGCGGAGGCGGTGGGGAGGATGGGGAGAAGGAGACACAGCGGTACAATATGGTGCTCTGTGAGGCTGACCCACCCAGGAATAGTCCAGGTACATGTTCAAAGACTTCCCTGTGTATGCTGGGCACGCACAGGCCCATGATACAGAGCCAGCTGGGCTAGAGGTGATTATGGCCTCATGACCCTGCTGGGGGTACCTATGTCTCTTTACTCATAAAAAAAAAGAGAAAAAAAAAAAGAAAAGAAAAAAGAAAAAGAAAAAGAAAGAAATTAAAAAAAATAAAAATGTAGGCCAGCAGGTGGCATGGCCGTTAAAGTGCTGGACTTCTACATAGCTGACGGTGGTTTGAATCTCAGACCCAGTGGTTTACTCCCCGCCCCCCTTAATGTATATTCCCCGGAAGTAAATTAAAAAAAAAAAAAAAAAAAAAAAGAACGATGATGATAAATAAAATTAAATAAATAATTCTTTAAAAAAATAAACATAAAAAAGTTTATTCTGCCACTTGGAAAATTTACTGTTCATTTCAGGAGACAGTCTAGAAAACCCTCAATGAGAAGGAACCATAGTGCCAGTAGTTTGCCAGTGAAGGACATCCTGAAGAATTTGTTGAAAACATCAATTTCGGGACCAGCAGTCATCGTAATGGCTATGTCGCTGGACTCCCACGTAGTCGACCGCAGTTGGCGTCCCGGACCTGGTGGCTTAAACTCATACCGGGCGCGTGTGCGTGCGTGCCCAAGATCCTGAGAGGAGAATGGAGGAGAAGGGATTGCAGCGTGACCATCCCCCCTGGGGGTGACTTCTCGCTTTCTGTCTCTATGTCTCTGTCTGTCTGGCGAGCGCACACACCCTATAGTGAAAACCTCTCAAAAAAAAAAAAGAATTTTTTGAAAACATCAGTTTCGGGACCAGCAGTTAGCATAATGGCTATGTCGCTGGACTCCCACGTAGTCGACCGCAGTTGGCGTCCCGGACCTGGTGGCTTAAACTCATACCGGGCGCGTGTGCGTGCGTGCCCAAGATCCCAAGAGGAGAATGGAGGAGAAGGGATTGAGCGTGGCCATTCCCCCTGGGGGGGTGATTTCTCGCTTTCTGTCTCTCTATCTGTCTCTGCCTGGTAAGCGCACGCGCCCTACAGCAAAAACCTCTCAAAAAAAAAAGAAAAAGAAAACATCAATTTCAGGGCCGAGTTTTCTGATTCTGAGATGACAGAAACGTGTTTTTGTTTTTTTGTTTTATTGCTAGAGGGAACATGTGCTGCCCAGAGAAAGAGAAAGCACCCTCCAGTAGGGTGTGGTCATGCCACAATCCTTTTTCCTCCATTCCTCTTTCCCATCAGGATTCTGGGCATGCTTGCTTGCACACACGCACGCCCACATACATACATAAGCTATCGAGATGGGGCTCTAATCGTATTGGCCACATGAGACCCAGCTTCTTATGCACAAGACATAATTACTGTGCTTCTGGGCCAGTCCAGAAACCTGTATTTTGTTCGGAATTAATTATTTTAATTTTATTCATCATTATTATTTTCTTTCTTTTTTTTTATTTTTAATTTGCTATAGGGTACATGCACACTCCAGAGAGAGAGAGAGAGAGAGAGAGAGAAAGTGAGAAAGCAAGTCACCGGGTCCAGGACTTGAACCGTGGTCAGCCAAATGAGAGTCTAGCTTCTCAACTACCATGCCACCTGCTGGCCCCGAAACCTGTATTTTAAACAAGTAATTCAATTCATGCCAATGGTAAGTAAGGAAAGGTCCAGTCTTTGAGAACCCCAAGCAGTATAGGGATCCATTTAGAAGGAAATGACCATTCAAAAGAGAACAGCTCTATTGCAGGCAATGGAATTTGAACTGAGTAATCTAAACCCAACTCTCAATGAACTAATTCTCTATAACTCACTAATGTAGCAAAATAAAAAGATGGGTAAGGGTAAAAGAATTTCCTTCCTCCTTAATCGGCTGCAAAACTTTGAGAGTTTGCCTCAATCCAGACATTTGTGGAAATTGTAAGCTTAAGCAGAGTTCTACTACAATATTAGGAATAAGCATTAATAAAAAGGAAATGGCTAGTCAACTGCAAAAAAAAAAAAATGCTAAGAAGGACAAACAGTTCACGGAACTCACTTGCTACCACTCATTTTATGCCCTATTTCACAATGTTTAGTATCTGAACAATCCACAGGGCTCCAAAGTACAATAAAAATTTGTTCATTTCCTCTCTTACTCGGGCAGAATAATAATAGAGTTTTGTGAAGGTACCAATGTGCCTCAGCAATTTCAACAGATACATTATTTGTTAAAGAAACATCAGTTTTTTCAAAAAAATATTACCATCAGAAACTCTCCTTAGTGAAATACGTACAGGCATCTCAACAAATCTGAACACTGTCACCAAATTAGTGCCCCTCATTTCTTAATTTAGGTCACTTAAAAGTTCTTGGTTCCTTACAAACTGTCCTGCATAAAGAATTCCCTTCAATATTAAAAAAAAATGTTCAGCATAAACAAACTACCATTAACACACAAATGTTTCAAGAAAATAAGTTAAATGTTTCTTAGACAAAAACATAATATTTTGTTCTCAGAGACAGCAATGGTAACTGTGAGGAGCAAATTTAAGCTTCTGCCTTAACCTTAAAGTCATCTAAAAAATAAAGGTATTCTAACTAATACATTCCTCTTATTTTGGGAGTTCACAGGCACCATGTAAACCAGCTGGCCCGCTGGGTCCTGGCCCCAGTTCCTGCCCTCACATCCTGTCCACTGCATAATCCATGAGATTTCTGAGCCTTTCTCTTCATCAGTTACAGGATTAGTAAAACCGCCTCCCTGCTGACAGAACTGAGATTTTCCAGATGCATCTGTTTGAGTGGTATTTGTTTTTTATTACCCACTATTTTTTTTAAAACTGGACTTGTCTTTATTATCTGTATGTTTTGACCACGGGAACAGCAAGAGAAAGATGCCAATAGATAAGCACAAAGAAACACATCTGGCCGGACTCTGCATATATTTAAATTCTCAGGTTGGTGTAGCCTTCTAGAATAACATTGATGATGGCAAAGTTTTAAAGGAAACTTTTATATGAAGAGGTCATCAAACATCTCCAGGGCCTGCAACTCAAAAGAAAAGCAGTTCATCTATTTCTTCAAAAGCAAAGCCTTCTTTTAGCCTGAATCACAACAAAAGATTGTCCATAGGAAATGTAATCTACGAAGTTGTCTTCTAAAGCAAAGGCAAACACAGATCCAAGTGAAAGAAGGTGCAGCCCTATTTCTGGCTAGTTTCCTTTGCCTGGGAATTCCAATATACATTTCCTCGTTTAACCAAGAAGAGACCCCAACTGTGCCTTGAGTCCACACCATAAAACCCTGTCGGCGCGTAAAGGCGAGAAGAAGCGGCAGACCCCGGGGACGCGCTCACACCGCAAGGGGAGCCGCTTTCTGTTAAATACCATCAGAGGCAACCCCAGCAGCACGACTTAGGGCCAAATGGCATTGACTGCCCTTCACTGACAAGAATTTTGCAAGCGCGCGAGAGAGGAAAAGGGGAGAGACTCGAGGCGGCGGCGCGATGTTGCTCCCCGCGAGCTCGGGGTCCTCCCGCAGCTGGCGAGGCCGAACCAGTCTGCCACGCTCGACAGTCGAGGGCGGCGAGGTCAGGAAGGACCGAGTACCCGCGATCGCCGCCGCGGGAGGGACGGAGCCAACTCGGCCGGCCAGATCTGCAGATGCCCATTCAACCCGATCCTCGTCCGTAGCCGCCAACCCCTCCGCCTGCCGCGCGCCCCGGCCTCCCGGCGCTGGTCAGCTCGCCGCCGCCACCGGGAGGATGCGAAAGACGAGGCGGAGGAGCGGCCGCTGCCGGGCTCCCCCGGCGCACAGCCTCACCTCATCTCCAGGCGGGTCTGCTCTGGCGCCCGCACAAATCAGTGCAGCTCACACGCCGTGGAAAGGGACGCAGGATCCGCAGCCCTGCACACCATCCCCTCCCGCCCGCCTCTCAGTACGTCCCGGAGCCCGCTTGAGATTCTCCCTCGCGAGCCGCCGTACTACGGAGCAACCAAGCTGCACTCCCTCCCCTCGCTTCTCTGCTCCTCTCTACCTCCTTCTCTCCCTCCCTCGCTCCCTCGCTCCCGCCTCTCTCCTCATCACCCTTCGCCGCCTCCCCCGCTCCCATCCTTCCCTCAGTCTCCGCCCACAGGTGGGTGGGGACTCTAGTCTGCCAATGAAAAGGCGGGGCTCTCACCTCCTCACCGCCCCCTACCACTGGCCTCGCCCACCTCGGGAACAGACGAGAGAGCCGGAAAAAAAATGGGAAAGGGAGAAGAGACAGCAGAATAAACCAATAAGCATGCTCGGACGGGGAGTGAGGCGGGCTCTCATTCACCCTTTCTGGGTTCCCTTCCTCCGAGGCGTAACAGGAGGCTTCTAATCTGGGATTTCCTGGCCCCGAGTTAGGGAGATTTTGTTTCACAATTTCTGTGCATCTTCCCGCTGCTGTGCGAGAACTAGATGAAATCAATTCAATTGAGTTACAGAAGGTTTTAGACGAAAAGGTAGACGGGCGAGTTACAGCCCAAGGAAGGTGCTAGGGAATACGTTAGAATGAGGAAGGGTGGGGTCTTTTGGTGAAATTTGCATGAAACGGAACCCATCAAGGCGGTTCCAACTTTGCCTATTTATTGGTAGCCCTTGGGGCGGTGCCTCTCACTTCCTCCGAGTGGCGCATGCTGGGATTTGTGGTTTTGCGCTGTGTTGCTACCGTGTTCCCTGCAACGTCCGCGAGTCAAGCCTCGCCCTGCAGGAGTGACGAATGGCCTGACCTATGGGAGCAGCGTCTGGGCTTGAGGGGGCGGGTTCTCTGCGGAAGGATTGAAGGTGGCGGTGGCGAAGGCGCAGGCCGTTGGGGCAGCTCAGAGCAGGTGAGCCGCGGTAAGCGCATAGTGTGTCTTGGGAAACCGTACTTCTGGTGAATATCAAGAGACGCCCTATGGAACCGTTTATCCCTGGGGTTGATGGTGGTTCGCGACGCACCCCAACCTCACACCCTTTTGGGCGCTGGCCTAGTTTAGCTGACGCCGCCGAGGGGCGGGTCAGATTAGACTTGACGGACGATTTCCAGGCCTTTTCCAGGTTTCGATGGTGAGTTTTTAATCTCTACTTGCACCTCCTTCATTAATGGAGACAAAGGTCTGGAAGTTTCCTTCCACTTAATCCCCCAGTTTGCATTTTTACCCTGCTTCTCGTGCCTATTATGTGTCTTTTTTTCCTCCATTTTTCCTCTGCCACCTCTTTCTCCCTCTTCACTTCCCTTTTAAAGTCAGCAGGTAGCTGGTACACCAAGGGTATTCGCGTGAATGTGGTTATAGGGCCAAATTTTGCTCTCTTCATTAAGTTAAACAGTATACCCTAAAGCAATACAAAAGAATCACCCTCAAGTGCAAGTATTGCATTTGTAGGTCTGAGCTCCGGTCTGAGAATCAGCATTTCTGACAAGACGGAGGTGTGGTCCGCATAACAAGGTTCTACTTCACGTTTGTCCAATGCAAATATAATGTGCGCCACCTATGTAATCTTACATTTCCTAATGGCCACTTCTTTTAAGTAAATGTATTTCCTTCGTGAGAGAGAAAGATAGGCAACTTCAACAGGGTCTCACCAGCTATTCTCTCCCCAACCCACAGCCAGCCAGCCAGCCAGCCAGCCTGCTAGCTAGCAGGATGTGAGCACCTGGCTATATATGCAGGTCATTGAGAACCAAACCTGTATCTTCCATATGGCTTCCCGCATTCCAGGTGCTTCACTACTACAGTGGGTCCTTGATAGTCACTTTTAAAAAGTGAAAAGAAACATGAAATTGGGACCAGCAGTTGGCATAATGGCTGTCGCTGAACTCCCTGAACTCCCACGTAGTCGATGGCAGTTCAAGTCCCCCCCTCGGTGGCTTAAACTTACACAGACGCTTGTGTGTACGTGTGCCCAAGATCCTAAGAGGAGAATGGAGGAGAAGGGATTGTGGTGCGGCCATACCCGCTGTGGGGTGATTTCTTGCTTTCTGTCTCTTTGTCTCTGTCTTTCTGGTGAGTGAAAGTGCCCTTGTAGCAAAAACCTCTCCAAAAAAAAAAAAACATGAAATTAATTTTAATGATGTTTCAGTTCACCCAACATATCCAAAGTAATATCATTTCAATGCATAATCAAGTATTAATATTTAAAAATTGAGAGTTTATTTTTCCCTTATTAAGTCTTCCAAATCCGATGTAATTTTTATATTTGCAGCAAATCTCTGTTCTGGTTAGACACAGTTCAGGTGCTCAGTGGATACTTGTGTGGATAGCACAGATCCAGATATTATATCCCATTGTACAAATTTAAAGGTGTTAAAAGTAACATGCATGTGAGGCAAACCCTTTGCCACTCTGTAAGGTGGGCTTCAGAACTACTTTAGAAGTTCTTCCCAACTACAGAAGTATTAGTAAAAATAGATAACAGAAATTGAAAGTCAAGTCTTGTGCTGATTGTTTTGCATATAGGTTTTTTTTGTTTTTGTTTTTGCTAAAGAGTGCATGTACTTGACAGAGAGGGAGAGAGAGGAAGCAACCTGCAATGGGGACATAGTCACGCTGTAATCCATTCTTCACTTCTCCATCGTGTTATGATTTGGGGCACTCATGCATCAAACCACTGGGACTGGGATTCTAACCACGTAGTTGTCCATGTAGGATTTGGCTCCCTTAACCATGTTGCCATAGGACTGGTCCGCATATAGTTTTTAATCCTTACAACAGCCTTTGATGATAACTATTGTTATTATCCCTATTTTATAGATATGGAATTGAAGGCCTAGGAAGGTTAAAATTAAATAGCCCCAAATCATACAACTAATAAGTAAGAGAGCCAAGATTCAAACTAGGATCAGTTATGACCTCTAAATCCTACCCATCAATCACTTAATATATTAATTATTATCTTTTTATCACTAATTTCATCTCATTGATGCCTGCTTATGCAGAAGTGGAGATGTTCAGATTTGAAACTGAGAGGGTTTCCAATATAAGAGCAAGCTGCCAGTCACATGCAGTGAAATATTTTGATAGTTTTACAACTTTCCATGTACTGCATTTAAAATCAAAATTCTGAAGGACTTTTTTAGGCTTCTGGACTGTATCCTGAGTAGCAGTGAGACTTGACTCATTTGAACCTTCCTGAAGAATGAGGGTGGGAAACAAAACGCTTCACTATGGAATTAACAGCTTTTTTGGTTATGTTTGTGGCAAACTCTTTTTTTCTTTATTGATTGGATATAAATGTTTCCTTGCCCTTTAAACTTCACATAGGTTATTTCAAATCCAACTTTATGCTTTTTTTGTAGATCTAGTGAGCAGTACTAGACTGAACTAAGAAGAGTTTTATAAATAGAGTACACCTGTCCACACCTTTTAAAATGTGGTATTTCACAGAATTTTTTCATTGTTTTATATGTAGCAATAAATTACACATCTTATTTGTAAATATTTCATCAAAATTATATTTCATGGGCCAGCTCAATACATAGCAGTGAAGGCAGCTGGAATCCACATGGCTGACTATGCAGTTTAAGTCCTGTACCTGGCCACTTGGGAAACATGTCAGGCGCATGTGCATGTGTGCCCAGAATCCCAATAGGAGGGAGGCGTTAAGAATAAGGGATTGCAGCATAGCCTTCTCTCATGGGGTGCTTTCTCACTTTTTGTCTCTGGTCAACGCATGCACCCTCTGTCAAACATTAAATAACAAATAAAATATTACATTTCACATTTTGAATTTGAAGCAAGAATTTGTTTCTTCAAGATCCTATGTAATTGAGAAATTAAATAAGCATGTAAGGGTCTGGCAGGCAGCATGGTGGTTAAAGCGCAGAATTCTAATATGGCTGACCACAGTCAAGTCCTAGACCTGGCAGTTTGCTTTCTCACTCTCCCCACCCCCCCCATCTCTCTCTGGTCAAATTGAATAATAATGATAATAAAATTAAATAAATAGTTCTAAAAACAATTTTTTTGGAGAAGTTTTTTTTTTTTTTTGGGTTTTATTTTGCATAGGGCATGTGTGCTTGCTGGAGAGACAGAGATACAGAGAAACAGAAAGCAAGAAATCACCCCTCAAGGGGGATGGCCATCTTGCAATCCCTTCTCTTCTATTCTTCTCTTGGGATCTTGGGCACGCACGCAGCCATGCACCCGGCGAGAGTTTAAACCACCGGGTTCAGGACTCAAACATGGAAGTCCAGCGACATAGCTATTATGCCAACTGCTGGTCCCTAAAAAAAGTTCTTAATTTAAAAAAAGGCATCTAAAAATTGCAATAAGGGGCCAGCAGGTGGCATAGTGGTTAAAGCACTAGACTCCTACTTGGCCAACCACAGTTCAACTCCTGGACCTGGTAACTTGAAATCATACCAGGCACGTGTGCATGTATGCCTAAACTCCTAGGAGGAGTATGGAGAAAAAAGGATTGCTGCATGGTCAACACCCTTAGGGAGTGATTTTTCACTTTCCCTCTCACTGTCTCTCTCTCTCTCTCTCCAGCAAGTGCATACTCCCTATCGTAGAGAAAGAAAGACTCAATAATAATAATATATATATATGTGTGTGTGTGTATATATATATATATATATATATAGAGAGAGAGAGAGAGAGAGAAAACAACAATAAAAGGGCTAGCCAGTGTTGTGGTAGTCAAGGCAACTGAATCCCATGTGGCCAACCTCATGGTTCAAGTCCCAGACCTGATGGCTTGGAGAACGCTGGGCGCATGTGCATAGGCACCCAAAATCTTGAGGAAAAGAAGGGATTGTGGTATGGCCATCCCCCTTGGCATGGAGACAGGGGTACTTTCTTATACTCTCCCACCCCCATCTGTCTTCAGCAAGCACACATGTCCTATAGAAAACTCTTTTAGAAATTACAATGAAGTTAAAAGCTGTAGGTGAAGATCAGGTAAATGTATTAGGGGAAAGAGAGTAAGTGTGGTATGGTAGAGTTTAGAGAGGCTACCTTACTTGTAAACAGACCTCCACCTACATTGTCCAGTGTCCTGTGGTTATGCCAGGGTAAAGGGAAGATTGAATTATCACACCATGGGCTCTCTTGTTCTCTAGTAACATAATGTGGGAGAATATAGTACAAATTTAGAAATATATATGAAAGTTAACTTCCAAGTGGGCCCCATGGCCTACTGTTGAAGGAAATCAATCACACGTAGCCAATCGCAGTTCAGATCCTGGCCCTGACAGCTTGGGAAATATGCCAGGTGCATGTGCATGTATGCACACATGTGTATGTGTGCTCAAAATCCCAACAGGATGGAGAAATAGGGATTATGGCATGACTACACCCCATTGAGGGGTACTTTCTCCCCTCTGATTTTCTGGAGAGTGCATGTGCCCTCTGACAATGAGAAAGAAGTTAATTTTCTGTTTTTCTGGACCTGGTACTGTCACCTGCACAGTGATGTTTCGATCAGTGACTGATTTTATATGATGGTGGAACGGTAGGCAGTGGCTTATAACCCAGGTGTGTAATAGGTATAACATTTTGGTTCATATAAGTATACCATCTGTTTGGACAACAGTGTCATCGTCTAAGGACAGATTTCTCAGAACATGTACCTGTCATTAAACAACATACAATTGTATATTAAATAGCTCTATATTGAGCTTGCTTTCTGGCCTGGTGGTTAAGGTAGTCAAGTCCCACATGTTCAACCATGTGGTTCAAGTCCCAGACCTGACAGCCTGAAAAACGTGCTTAGTGTGTGTGTGTGTGTTGTGTGTGTCTATGTGCCCCAAATCCTGAAAGTAGAGCAGGGTGGAAAAGGGATTATGGCGTAATTATGCGCCGTGGGGAGTGCTTTCTCCTCTCCTTCTGACCATGTCTCTGTC